TTGATAAAAACACTGCCAGATAACAAAGAGAAATTTTTAAACTTAAGGTCAGTGGAGGATTCGAGTCGATATTTAAAATAGAACGTACGAGGCATCTGTTTATTGGGTTGGGGTCCACTGGACGTGTGACCATTACGCTATTTTTTGGAGGTGTGACCATTACGGGTTAATTTTTGCGCGGCAAGGCCACTACTTCTAGTCCTACTACTAGACCAAGTTTTAAACTGATGTCTCAACTTTTAGAATTTTAGCCACACAATAGCGTCAAATTTCCAATAGTGCAATGTCATTTTAGACGTTTCACTACAAAACTCTGAATTTTCTGTTTAAAAATCTGTCAGGAGGCGTTGACATTCACTCGGAAGTGAATAGGTAGATAGACTGAAAAGGGTGTACATATGTTCTTCGACTAAGAGATCTATTGTGCCCTCAACCATTCATAGTACCTCATCCAACCCTAGAGATCCCAGAAATTTGAAGAGATCTCCAGGGGTTAGCGAATGTATAAGTTCTTCACTTGGCCGGCGTTGGCCTAGGTACCCATCCCGTCTTCTCGCACTCGCGAAGCAAGTTCAAACGACATAGGTTGTCCGACCAGATTTATTATCCTGAACCTCTCTTTGGGGAGGTTTATTGCCCTGTACCTTGTAAGGTAGTAGCCTCCCAATAAACATTTAGCCCGACGTAGATATGCGCTGTTACGCCAGTGTTAACCTCTGAGTGTGTTCCTCTCCTTCCTGAGCTCTTCCTAGATTCTGCTAGGTCCGATTGCAAGGAAGGGCTCTGGCCCTATAGGCAAAGAGGCGGCCACCGTTCTGGCCAGCCGGTACGCTCGTTACCAACAACTCCTAACTGAGCTGTTACCCAAAATAGTTGGATAACATTGTGCTCCGCCAGGACCTATCAATGCACTCAAGAAATAAGACGGACTTGAATTCAAATGATAAGAGGGTCTTGAGTGCCGCCTGGCTATAACTCAATATTAGAATTTTCTTATAACGGTTGGTTAATCTCTGCACGCAGACTAATGGCATAGACCTCCGCCTGAAAAATACTTGAGTATGCTCCTATGGGTGCCGAGAGCTTTAGTCTTGGTCCGTGGATTGCAGCGAGCTAGCTTATATATGCCTCTCTATAAAAGAGATGCTCCAAGTTTCCTTGATGCATTTCCTCTCAAAGTCAACTGTTTTAGTTCTATCATCTCTGGGGAGCAGAGTTAATGTAATCTGGGAGACTAGCTTGTCTCTGTTCCTCGATGATGGGGGTTTGCCTCAAGAATCACCTCCAGCGCTGCCGTCGGAGATGTGCGCATTGCCTCCGTGATGCATACACACGCGGACGTTGAAGCTTGGTAAGGGATTACCTTACCGGGGCTAGGGTGGTTCTCGAGACCCAAGCCACCTCCCCATAACTGACTATTGGTCTAACTATCATGGTATATATCTATCTCAGGATATTGGGACTACAGCCCCAAGTCTTGCCTGCCAGGCGTTTAAAACGACTTAAAAAAATTTAATTTTGTGGCACTTTCATCTTGTTCTCGGAACTATTTTTGAAGACCATTTGGCACATTTTGAAATTCTATCCCTGCTTTGAAATATATCATAGAGAGTACTCACGAACTTCCCTCTAGCAATAATCACAATATCCTCCCTTTGCCCCACCTCGGGGATGTGGGCATGCGCTAAGCTAGCCCGCATGATGCTGATGAGGTGTGGTAGTAGGAACTCTTTACCTTGGTTCCGCAGCGCTGGGCCACGCCAGACGATTTATACCGATCGAAACAGTCGCAAGGCCCAGCAGCCTGACCGGCGGGGAATAGACTCTTAGCCAGATTGCAGTTCGCTGGGTATGGCCTAATCCGTCGGCACGATATCTCCCCCGAAATCGGAGTTTCATCCGGGAAGTTGGCCGAGAGGAGGGCGAGTGCCCCCTTTTTTTCGCTACCTGAGTAGGCTAGGCCATTGGCTAGCAGGATTGCTAGTCTGGTTTCTGTGTGGCCAAGGCTTTATGCAGCCCGTCTTTTATTTATATGCATACGAATAGGTTCTATACTACATATTTTTTTATTGCTTAGGCTTCATTCAATAAAGTAATATTGATGCAAAGTGTTAAACTATGAGACTCAACAAAACTAAATACAATAAGATATAAAATATGAAAGAATATAAAAAATACTGGTTTCACTTTCTTAAACATTATAATATTTTTATGTAGAGGCACTTGACAGATTCGCAGCTTCGTAGATGTTTGTTTCCTTGACGACTATAAATTAAAGGCAAATTATGAGGCGTCTGAAAAGCTGAAAGTTTCAGTGAAAAGTCATACATTTACTTACTTCAAATTTCATTAAGTAGTGCTCCTGGCTTTGGCTTGTCATTGATAGGTAACTAATGAAATTGCCTATTTATCAAGTCCCACATTGCAGCGCAAAGCGCAGCGTAGGCGATGTTAAAAACATTGTTTGCTTAAAAGCATAGTATATCCACAGCTTTAATATTTAAATAATTATACCCGAGCGCACTTGTGCACAAGGGTATTATAACCTTGTTCACATAACGGTTGTTTGTAACAGGCAAAACGAATCGAGATAGATATAGACAAATGTATACATAAATGATCAGGATGAAAAGAGAAATCGATTAAGCGGTGACTGTCTGTCCGTCCGTCTGTCCGTCCGTCTGTGCACACGATAACTCGATTAAAAATTAAGATATCTTAACGAAACTTGGTACGTGTACTTCTTTCGGGCGTAGGACGGATGGTATTGAAAATGGGCAAAATCGGACAATAACCACGCCTACCTCCCATATAACGGTCATTTTCAGAAATACGAAAACTGCGATATTTTAGTAACTACTGAAGATAATTCACTCAAAATTGATATTTGCAATAACTTTTAGACGAAAAATAAAAATATTATACATTTTTGAAAAATGGGCGTAGCCACGCCCACTTAGTGTTACATGTGTATATCTTGGCAACCGCTGCACCGATTTCTTCCAAACTTGGCACAGTTGTTGGCCTTGGTACAGCATAAAAAATCGCCGAAACTTTTTAAAATCGGACAATAACCACGCCCACATCCCATATAACGGTAATTTGGAGAAATACGAAATCTTCGATAAATCAGTAAATATTAAAGCTAATTTATTCAAAATTGATGCTTGCAACAATTCTTTACCAGGAAATACGCTTATCATAAAATTTTGGAAAATGGGCGTGGCACCGCCCACTTATGATCACATATATGTATCTCGGTAACCGTTCTACCAATTTGTACCAAACTTGGTATGGTTATTGTGCTTGCCACATAAAAGCAAAACGTTAAAAATTATTGAAATCGGACTAAAATTACGGCTTTTCATATAACGGTAAATTTTAGAAACTTCAATATTTCGAAATTGAAGGACGCTAATTTACTCAAAATTGATACACCCCGGCTTACCATGTAGCGGTGGCTTTCGGAAAGGTGAAAAGGCATATATGTAATACTTGCGCCGGGTATTTAATGTTCGGCCCCGCCCGAACTTAGACTTTCTTACTTGTTTTGTATTGTTTTTTTTTTATCCAGCAAATCCCTTTTTAAAACGCTTAAAATTATATTATACGTCTCACAGCAGTCAACAAGTAATTCCACAAAGACACGCGATACATAAAAATATGATGAAATATTAAACTGCCGCTAATTGAGTATAAATATTACGAATGCCTTCCCATAATATCGCTAGCTTAGAAAGAAAAGTTGCTAAGTCCCATTTTAAAAATTTTACAGGATAGGAAAAAATCTTCCTATAGCCATTTTCTTTAACTATTTCGCAAGACTTTGAATCAAACATTTTGCGCGTTTAAAGAAAAGCAAAACTCCATAAGAATCAGAAGGATTCGATATTTATTAAAAGATGACGTATTATTTTGGCCTTATCGGATTTGTGGTGCTTCTTTTGGACTTAGCAAATTTTCCTTTTATTGCTTATGAAGAGGACAAAAAATAAAACAAATACCTTTATAATTTTCGAAACGATGCGTATTCAATTTCTTTAGCCTCCTATATCAAAATATGAGTTTTCATAAAAAGTGAACTTAGCACATTTTCACTCTAAGCTAGCGATATACAAAATTATTCGTACAGAGATTTGTTCAGTGCCTTACGAATGTGTTTCGTAAAATAAACGTAAGATTTCGTAAATTATATTGAAAAAATACCTTACGAAAGTCCTTTCGTTATATTTACGTATGGTTCGTAAAATCTTGTTTCATTGTGGAAAATGTGTTCGTATTATGAACGAAAGTTTCGTACATTGTACAAAAACCAACACTACGAAGGATTTTCGTAGCACTTTTACGAAATTTTATTTTCAGTATACTTAAAATTATTAACACTTTTTTACACTATTTTTATAGATGTCAAAACAGTTTTTTTGCTCTGCTGAAAAATTGAATTTTTGCAGAGGGTATTGAATATAAGCCCTCGATATGTTATGTACGTATGTGGTGTTTTTTGTCGCAGGAATGAAAGCTCCGGTATTCCTTGCGGTATTCCATTTCGAAAAGATGAAAGAAGACTCCATTTTGTATCATATGCCGTTGTACTTAGTTCTACGTTGTTATGCTTAGCAGTCGAATATTAATTTATATGGTATTTTATTCAATACATACATACATACATACATACATACATATAAACAATTGTTCATACATACATACATACATTTGTGCACATACATACATATGTAGATATCTATCCTTTGCTTGTGCAATTAAAAAAATTCCGAATTTCTCTTGGTTAATGCCACAAAAATTTAATCTGGCTTTACTGTGTGTGCGTTTGTGTGGCTATGACTGCGACCGAACCCGGCTCCCTATTTTTCATATCCATCCTTGTATGCCACATATGTATGTATGGAAGGGTTAACATTGGCCCAAGCACATACTATGTAAGTAGACTTTCATTTAATACTTTCTGTTCTATAAATAACAACAAAAACAACTCAGTTATGCTTATTAAATGTTTTTATATATACACACACATAAAATAACTGCAGCGGCGATCCTCGTCATTTACAAATTTTTACATAGTTTACAGTCACATTAAACAAAAAAATGAACAATTATAAATAACAACAACAATGTACCAAAAGCAAGTAGTCATCATCAACGCACGAAATGCTAAAAAAGAAAAGATAGAAGAAAAAATAATGCATAATTAGTCAAAGTCGTATGCTACATACTTACATACATATGTACTATATATGTATGTATGTACATTGGACCACAAAAAAAAAATAAATAAATAAAAATTATAAACCCTGCAATGCGAACGGGCCCCGACTCAAATTTTAGTATTTGTTATGGTAATGATCCTCCATGAATCTCCCCTCTCTACCATAATTTCAAGTAAGCGCATCGAGCTTTTATTTCCCCCATAGGAATAAAATGTAAGAAAAAGAGTTCTTCTCTTTTGAGGTCGATATATTTTTCTGCGATCAATCAAAACGCTCGATAAGAATACATTGATTACATGTCATTCAAGTACAATGCAGGCTCCGATTCCAATGTATTCTTATAGTTTCGAGAGTTTTGATTGATTCTTGGATATTATATTGACCTCAAAAGAGAAGAACTTATTCTATGGAAAAATAAACGCTACGCGGTCTCTAAGAATTATCGTAGAGAGGTGAGATTCATCGAGGATCCTCACTATAACAAATACTAAAATTTGAGTTCGGTTTTCGGCCGCATTGCAGGATTCATTTATATTTTGACGTGGTCTAATGTACATATGTATTAGATTGGGTCACGCAAAAATGGTTTGTAACTACCCGTCTAGTTGAAAAGCTTACCAGGGGCTGGATTCTGAAACTGTGAGTAAATGCATTGTACACTGAGTGCAAAACTCACACCAAAAACTCACTGAATAAAATGCTGTGAGTTTTTCGAAAGAGAAGTGTACACAATATTTACAGTTGAAACTCATTAGCACACTTTCTGAATTGCAAAATGAGAAAGTGTACACAATTTTCAGTGTACACTTCAAAACTCACAGTTACAGAATCCAGCGCCCCTGGAGTGGGTTTATGGGTCATAACTTTCTCCCCTGTCACATCACAAAATTTACCAAAAAGTAAATTTGCTAATTTTTGCTTTTTTATCTATAACTGGTACATATGTATCTAGATATATATTTTCAGTGTTGTATCACACTTTAAAGTCTGGTCATAATAAAACAATAGTGTGAAGAGAACTTGATTTTGGCTGCTCTTAGGATGTGTCAAGGATGAAAATTTGAATGTGAACTAAATAATATGAAGTTGAGCTTTCAAACTAGACTACACTAGAACGACTCACGCTCGTTTCACCTTCCGCAAGCTTACATACACAGATTAAATATGTATTTGATTATTTTGAATTCTGGGTTTCGTTTTCTTAATTTTGATGCCGATATTTTAAATTTACATTCTTCTAATTTATCATCAAAGGAGTCCAACCGGCACATGCTCGAGACAAAATATTTTGATGACAGTCGTGACAGTTATTCGCTTGGGAAAGCAGCAACTTTTTCCATGATTCGTCCTAATGCACACACATATATGTACATATATAAATGCCCTGAATTCCCAAATGTACACATAAATGCAAAGCATCAGTTTTGTTTTGTTTCTGAACCACGGAGGGTGAAACTATCCAATATTCGCAATCACGCCTATTTAGATGCTAATTTCAAGGAAGGCTGGACATTTTAATCGGAATAAAATAGACTGGTGCTTTGTATTTTTACATTCTGAAATTCGGCGACATATACACATAATAGGATTATTCACATAAAATGATAAATCGACAGTTTGTTGCGTTAGATGAATACCCCTAATACAAAAAAGTGGATAAAAAATACAACCAAAAACAAAAACATTTATACAAAGTCATGGTCTTTGACAGACTCATTTCTTTCATGTCTTGAAATAGCTTCTTTGATCCACTTTCGATAAGACCATCTAAGTATTTATAAATATACACATGTATTTTATCGAACCAACCTATTGGTCACCCATAATTTCTAGCTAGCGTACTAGTAGCCATCGTTCGTCTCCTTTCTACACCACTTGAACTGTGGCAAAGGCACTGAATGTGACCTTCTTCGGAAACTCCGGACCTGGTGAGCCGCGCGTCTTTATGACTGGCTTCAGCGGTTGGCGTGGCTTCAGCGATAAGAGGCCCGCGGAAGCGGCCAGCTCCCGCAGTCGTTGCGAGAATCCACTTGACGAGTTGCTGTCCCTGCCTCCGCTGCTGACACATCCACCTTCGCTGTGATGACCATCCACTACGTCCATGCAGGCGTTGTTAGTGTTGTTATTGCTGGTGGTGTGACTATTGTTGCTGCCAGCAATCGACTGCGCTGATGTAGAGTTGTTCGCCACAGTGGTGGTCGGATGCACCCTGTACATCTGTCCGCCGGAGGAGGGGTAGATGAGACTAGTGGTACCATTGGCATTGGGAGCATTCGCTGGTGTGATGTAACTGCAAGATTTATAATAAATAAATAAATACGTCAGAACGGGAAAAAAATGTGTTAACGAGTAGTTAGTTAGCAAGGTTGTATGAACAGGTTTGGCTTCGGGCCTGGTTTATCTGTATATGAATCGAGTAATGGTTAATGATTATGCTGAAAGGGTTGAGTAAAATTTGCAAACACTTGTTAAAATACACAAATATCAGTATGAATTCACACAATGCCAGGCAAATGCAAATATATTAGCACATGAAGACCACTTGGCAACATCGAAAACTGAATTTTTGTAAACAACAAACATTTTTTTTTAATCCGAAAGATGTACATTGTACATAAGTAAGTAAGATATTGCTAGGCATATATATATGTGAGTATTTTTTCTCATATTCCTACCATTAGCTTTATCGACGTCATTATATATGGCTTAAGTTATTCCCTTATCCTTTTTTTTAGAGGGCTGGACGAATTATTAGACAGCAGAAAAGCTTACACCGCCATCTCCAGTTTTAAATTAGTTTATAAAATTAGGAATTTATTTTGATATCCTTTAACAAATCAGTGATAGATCCATATGATATCGGTATTTTGATATCGATATTTTTAGGTGAAATTTTTACAGATATTTGTAGATATCGGAATTGTTATCGATGTTGTTATCTAACTTTTCATAGATATCGATATCGTAACCATAATCGATACTTAAAGCAGAATTTTCTGTAGCCCGTTTCCGTTGAAAAAAAATTATTATATGGAAATTATCGTTGCTTTTTGTTTGATCTCTTCAGCGAGGCGACTATTAAAAAAAAAATAGTTATTTTAAGTTATCAAAGTCTCAGGAAGTTTCTCATAAATATGATATATGTCCCTCTTCAATAAGACTAAATATTGTCTAGACACATATTTACAAATAATTGTACAAAAAATAGTTGTTTCCCTAACATAATGCAAAAAAAAAAAAATTAACGGGTATGTATTGGATTTTTGTATGTCGACAGTTTTCAAAATTGTGGCCAACGAAGTAAAATGCGACTTTTTCGAGAATAAGTATTGTTTGATAGTGGGCTTCCAATATATTCCCTCACTAAATGAAAGTAGGTGACGCCACCAGTTGCCTTATTTCTTTTGATCTTATCTATAGTAAAGAAGTAAGAAAGTCTAAGTTCGGGCGGAGCCGAACATTAAATACCCGGCGCAATTATTAAATATATGTTTTCCACCTTTCCGAAAGCTATCGCTACACGATAAGCCGGGGTGTATCAATTTTGAGTAAATTAGCGTCCTTCAATTTCGAAATATTGAAGTTTCAAGCATTTCTGAAATTTACCGTTATATGAGAAGCGGCCGTTATTTTAGTCCGATTTCAACGTTTTGCTTTTATTTGCCAAGCACAATAACCACACCGAGTTTGGTACAAATTGGTAGAACGGTTACCGAGATACATATATGTGATCATAAGTGGGCGGTGCCACGCCCATTTTTCAAAATTTTGTCTTAAGCGTATTTCTTGGTAAAGAATTGTTGCAAGCATCAATTTTGAATAAATTAGCTTTAATATTTACTGATTTATCGAAGATTTCGTATTTCTCCAAATTACCGTTATATGGGATGTGGGCGTGGTTATTGTCCGATTTTAAAAATTTTCGGCCATTTTGTATGTTATACCAAGGTTAACAACTGTGCCAAATTTGGAAGAAATTGGTGCAGCGGTTACCAAGATATACACATGTAACCATAAGTGGGCGTGGCTACGCCCATTTTCCAAAATTTATAATATTCTTATTTTTCGTCTAAAACTTATTGTAAATATCAATTTTGAGTGAATAATCTTCAGTAGTTACTAAAATATCGCAGTTTTCGTATTTCTGAAAATTACCGTTATATGGGAGGTAGGCGTGGTTATTGTCCGATTTTAAAAATTTTCGGCCGTTTGGTATGCTGTGCGAAGGCCAACAACTGTGCAAAGTTTGGAAGAAATTGGTGCAGCGGTTACCAAGATATACACATGTAACCATAAGTGGGCGTGGCTACGCCCATTTTCCAAAAATGTATAATATTCATATTTTTCGTCTAAAAATTATTGTAAATATCAATTTTGAGTGAATTATCTTCAATAGTTACTAAAATATCGCAGTTTTCGTATTTCTGGAAATTACCGTTATATGGGAAGTGGGAGTGGTTACAGTCCGATTTCGCCCATTTCCAATACCAACCTACCTTGGATTAAGGGAAACCTACATACCAAATAGATATCTCAATTTTTGCTCGAGTTATCGTGTATACGGACGGACGGACAGACGGACAGACGGACGGACAGACAGACATGGCTTAATCGATTTCTTTTTTTATCCTGATCATTTATGTATACATTTGTCTATATCTATCTCGATTCGTTTTGGCTGTTACAAACAACCGTTATGTGAACAAAATTAATATACCCTTGTGCACAAGTGCGCTTGGGTATGAAAATTTGAGGAGAATTGCTTCATTAGTCACCGATGAAGGAAATGTTTGACAATTTTTAAAATTCTCAGGATAGGACCTGGTTCGCTGTCACCCCTCTTCGGACAATGCCAAAACCTTGAGTATATTTCTTTCATGAAAAAGCTTCTCGTAAAACTATGAATCCCTGCCTACGTGGGACAATATTAAAGCGCACACCACAAATCGGAGAAGAAGCCCGGCCAGGGACTAAGCAAATGTGTGAAGCGCCAATTGTTTTTTTTTTAATCTATAATTACATAAATAATTAATATCTTGATTGAAGAAAGAATATGCCAACACCACTTTGCAAATATCCAAATTATGCGCAAATAAATGTGCTAGTAAAAATTCTTAATTGGAAGTGTAAATCTGCCAAAGAGCTGATTTAACAAATAACTGCGAAAGCGTCAGCGCCACAAACCCATACTATGTAAATACATATACCTACATCATACTTATGTAGATGTATTTGTATGCATACATATACACGACTGAGAGAAATAGAGGTTGCGCCCATCACGGGACCGCTATTCCTCTCTCAGTGTCAGAATCATTGTTTATATGACGTCATACTTGTGCAACTTGTTTACGGTTTCTTTGCAACATTTTTCTCTCGCAATTGCACCAGTGTGACGTCACACAAAAGTTATTCTCAAAAATCCTCTCTGATGGGCGCAATCTTGTATTCTATCATTCTTGATACATATGTATATATGTATGTGAGTATATATCGAAGGCTGAGCGGAAGATCGACCGTTTTTTAACCAAATTCTGAGATAGGGCGTTTTTCAATCAAATTCTGAAGTAGGGCGTTCTTGAAAAGTTTTCCGAGAAAGGTGCTTCTTCCACTCAGCCATCGATATAGGAAAGTGTATACATATTTGAAAAAGTTTTCCATAAACTTATATATGTAGCTAAAAAATGCATACATACGAGTATGCATTGAGTCCGATAAAAACTGGTGATTGTCCCCGATTTTGGTCATTTGTACATACATATAATTGTTATTAAAACCACTAAATGTTTACCTTTCATTAGTTTAGATATTGCCATGTGATAAAGGATAAAAAAATTGTGTGGGCACGTGCTTTATAAAAGTCTTAGGTAAGGGTGAAATTCGTTTCATTTGCAAAATTTTCATATCTCGCCAACAGACTTACACGGCCAACGCTATTAGCTTTACCTTGATTAGTCGCTAATTTTGTTTGGTTTGATCGCGAATTTTTATGAGCTCATACTTGTTTACAATTTATAGGCATAATTACCGCATTCGTGTTTATTGCTGCACATTTACTTGATGTTTACTTAACTACTTTGAGATTCCAATTGTTTGCTGCATGAAATTTTATTTATTTTGGTCCAAATTGTGAACGTATTACAACAGACAGGGTTATACAGTCCCAAAAGGTAAGATTGAAATGCTCGACAAGTCAGACAAGTCACATACCCCTGATGAGTGAATGCGTCTACATATTTATAACAAGTATTTTACCTTATATATATTTTATTGCAATTAGTTCTATGTATCGATATGTAACATACATATGTACTATGTATGTTTGCTTTAAATTCTGTTTAAATTTTTAGGTAGGGCTATTTTCATAGCATAGATATTGTAGATGCACATTCTACAGTTAACTATCGCTTTTAAGTACCTTTTTGTATTCTACCCAATAACCCTTAAGGCCACCCACAACCAAGATCAGTCATGGTTGGAAGACCTAACACATGTTTTAACCATCTGTGTAAACATCGAAAATTATCTACATACAAGGCCCAAGTATGTTTGTATATCCAAAAGCTTCCTCTCATAAATACCCTATAAATATTTTGGCGAACGTTCGAAAATTACCTTCGATATCCAATATGAATATCGAACTGAGAATGAACTCAAAACCAACCTTAGTTTTCCAACGTTCATAGTGTATTGGAAATACATTCGAGATGGGTTCGAAAAAAAATTAAAACCATAGTAACAAGAGAGGAAGTGAAATCCTGCTCATTTTCGAATGAAAATATAATGCAATCACTCTCTCTCATTAAAATTTCAATTCGATAATGGACTGGATTTCGAATTCATAACGAAGGAAAAATTCATTGGATAACGAAGGTTCCGTTTTGCTGGAGAATGGCCTAGTTCTCGAATCGAATACTAATCTATTCCACATTCGTTATCAAAGGTGAGACTTGAAAAAAATGTTAGTTTTCCAATCATTTTCGAATCGTTAACCAATCCCAATGTTTATTGGGTATGATATATTGGTTTGTAATTTTGAATACACACAATGTGATGTACTGTAGCAGGCATTGTGGTGGACGTGATTACCGTCCAATACTATGTCATCCTTTTATTGATGGAACGTTACACGCGGCACTCTGAAACTAAACAGAATATTGGATATCAAACCAAATATGAATCCAATAAATGGAGTCATCACCGCCCATGTTGGATAACTACAAGCAGCAAGGTGTGCTCATTCGCTGTCAGAGTGTCATAATCCAAAAATCAAAAACTCTGAAAGGCTTT